CCAGTCTAATTAAGATTGCCATATTAATGATGATAAAACAATCCGAATTGGCTGGAAACAGAATGATTACAGACGCACAAATCAAGTCAATACAGTAAGCGCTTAATAAAGATATCAAGTGTTTCTGTGGAAACATTTTTATCATTCTACCGAACGACGAGCCAGAGCCGATTACAAATATAAAAAAAAAAAAATTAAAACACCAAAAAGGTTTCAACATTTCACTGTCCTTACCTAACCTATATACATACTAAAGTGACGTAATCTGTAATCAAACGTTTTTGTAATTTTATTTTCGTGATTACATTACAAACGTGTGTATAATGCAACTCTATACCTGCCGCGGTTTAAGTTCTAGGAAAATTTTCTGCGTTCTGGTGATAGGACCTATTGTACGTCCGCACGGGTAGGTACCACCACCCTGCCTACCACCACCCTTCGGTTTGAAGGGTGGGGCAGCCGTTGTAACTATACTGAGACCTGAAAGTCGTCGTGGCCAAAAGGATAAGACATCCGGTGCATTTGTATGTATCGATTCCCCGGTGTTCGAATCCCGCAGGCGGGTACCAATTTTTCTAATGAAATATGTACTCAACAAATGTTCACGATTACCTTCCACTGTGAAGGAATAACATCGTGTAATAAAAATCAAACCCGCAAAATTATAATTTGCGTAATCACTGGTGGTAGGACCTCTTGGGAGTCCGCACGGGTAGATTCCACCACCCCGCCTATTTCCGCCGTGAAGCAGTAATGCGTTTCGGTTTGAAGGGCGGGGCAGCCGTTGTAACTATACTGAGACCTTAGAACTTATATCTCAAGGTGGGTGGTGAATTTGCATTGTAGATGTCTATGGGCTCCAGTAACCATTTAACACCAGGTGGGCTGTGAGCTCGTCCAACCATGTAAGCAATAAACAAAAAAATATAATTTTTTTTTTCAATGTTAAATCTTTGGTGCGGTCCACGATCATAACCGGTGTTGCTGTAAAATATCTCTCAGCTTTTGTAGCTCCGTTGCCATTCACCCGAAAGTCTAAATAGCTTTGCGAACTATTATGGAGGGTAGAAGTAAGGAGCGCCATCTTGTATAGGGGACAAGTTGAAAAATCGTCCGCCTGTAAATAGCGTGTTATTGTTGGAAGACTCACCGAATGAAAGAAGGAAGTAGGAAGCGGAAATGATATGAATATAGCAGTTTTAAACAGAGTTAAGCCCACCGGTCATCGTTTTCGTCGAACCCGTCGCTTGCGACGAAGGGCTCGTCGAGTAAATTAGCCCATAGACACAGCCCACTGAGTTTCTCGCCGGATCTTCTCAGTGGGTCGCGTTTCCGATCCGGTGGTAGATTCAGCGAAGCACTGCTCTTGCTAGGGTCAGTGTTAGCAAATTCTCTCAGGTTGAACCCGTGAGCTCACGTACTAGTTCGGCGAATCTAGAATAACCCATATAGAATAAACCAAGCGACGGGTTCGACGAGAAGGATGACCGGTGCTTGAGGTATCTAAAAGCACCGTTAGTGGATCGGGAGGATCAGAAATGACGTGCTTTGGGCGACGTCGACTACTTTCCATTCTTTCTGCAGGATCGGAAATGTAGTTTTTGTTATGATTGAATGATTACTGGTGGCCCGGAGGCCTTTCCAGCTTCACCAGGACAGGTGGGCGAGCAAAGGCTCAGCCAGGAGGGGTGGGATTTGCTAACAACAGCCTGAGCGTCTCCGAAGGAGACGTAACAACTCAAGAGCAATTGCTTCGCTAATGAATCTACTACCGGATCGGAATCGCGACCCACTGAGAAGATCCGGCGAGAAACTCAGCGGGCTGATGCATGGGTTAGGCTGCACGTCGACCTCTTTGTCGAGTTCGACGAGTACGGTTACCGGGGTTCCTCAGCCTGCTCCTAGTGTTAGAGCTGAAGGTATCTAATGCAAGAGTTATTGGATCTGATGGATCCGTAAGGACGTGTCTAGGGCGACGACGGTGACTTGCGTGATCAGGATTCGGGGAATGTAGTTACCGGCGGCCACGATGAGAGGGTTCTCGTGTCGTGCCGCTTTATCGAAATGGTCATACTAAGGTACCTGGCCTTTCCGTCTCTTTTATATCAAGCGCATGTAACCTTAAAGTATTAATATCGAAATACTACAAAAATTACAATACCTCAATTACATGTATTGGCGTTTACCGATAACAAGAATTTTCGATTAATTTACTTAAATTTTAAAGGTGCGAAATATAATTATATCGAGAGGTTACTGGTGGTAGGACCTCTTGTGGGTCCGCACGGGTTGGTACCACCACCCTGCCTATTTCTGCCGTGAAGCAGTAATGCTTTTCGGCTTGAAGGGTGGGGCAGCCGTTGTAACTATACTGAGACCTTAGAACTTATATCTCAAGGTGGGTGGCGCATTTACGTTGTGGATGTCTATGGGCTCCAATAACCACTTAACACCAGGTGGGCTGTGAGTTCGTCCACCCATCTAAGCAATAAAAAAAAAGGTGAAAGTCTATTTGGTTTAACCGTCGTTTTTGCTACTTTACAGTTTTTTTGTTTTTTTTTAATTCGGTCCACAGCTCGCGAATGTCCAGGAAGAAAATACTAGAATTTTTTAAGTTTATTTAAGCCGAACTATCGTCAAACGCATTACCTAAGTTTAAAAAAAAAAGTTTTTAATTGACCTAGTGTACAAGTAACCTCATTCTTAACTCAAACACGTCTGCGATTTCAGCCTTCTTAGTCTAATTAAACATAATATAATAAAAAAAGTATGTAGTAAAAAAAACATAGACAATACACAAACACAATAATAACAAAATAAGGCGCGTAAAATACCAAGTAGGTTGCAATTTTCGTGACACCTAAGTTTTTTTTTTTTTTTGCTTAGATGGGTGGACGAGCTCACAGTCCGCCTGGTGTTAAGTGGTCACTGGAGCCCATGGACATCTACAACGTAAATGCGCCACCCACCTTGAGATATAAGTTCCAAGGTCTCAGTATAGTTACAACGGCTGCCCCCACCCTTCAAACCGAAACGCATTACTACTTCACGGCAGAAATAGGCAAGGCGGTGGTACCTACCCGTCCGGACTCACGAGAGGTCCTACCACCAGTAATAAAGATAATAGACAAATACATTAATAACAAAAAAAGGCGCGAAAAATAGGTACCAAGAAGGTTGCAATTTTCATGACACCTAAGTAAATTGAATTTGCAGTGCACTGGCTTTATTGGCGGCATTACATTAACTTCGAGTAATAATTTCGAAAATAGAACATTGCGTTCGATTCGCAGCTCTTACGGCCCGTAATGCGCACAATAGATTTTGTTTACTACGTCTGCTTCGAAATTCGAATGTAACATTATTTTCTTAGGCTGGCCGCACGCGATAAGCTTTGGATGATGTCACCGGTTATGGAATGACTCACCGTGCTTGCTTTTGTTCAGTGTTGCTTACTATTTGAGAATCGTACTTGTTAGAGTATATTATGCATCTTTATTATCTAAAACCAATCTTAGTGCTCAATTCATTTAGGTTTAAACTTAACAAAAAAAATATATATGAGGCACAGACCTACGTATAGATCAAGCCGCGATAAAACCTAAAAAAAAACTGACTAACGACAATCAAAATTTTATTCAGTCAAAAATTTGCAAGTCAATATTGAAAGCGCGAAGGAGCCCTGCGCTAAGCCGACAAGGTAATTTGTAATTCCGCGCTTGAATAATTCATAGTGCTGCTGTTGTTTTCCCGCCCAAAGATCACATTCCAACATGGCCGACGGTCGGAGGTGGAATTTTGTAGACGCAAAATTATGCAATGATATTTTTTTTATGTTATTGAATCAAGTTGCATATCTAAGTAATTATCTGGCAAATTTAAATGAACATTTCGTTGATACCTATAGGGAGGTTAAAACTTTACACCGTAATAATCACAATATATTCTCTTAGTGTACTGTTAACGAGTGAATATAATTTAATAACCAACATTTTGTTTGGTAGTGTAATGTTTTTTTCGATAAAGAGACCTTTCTATCTTACACAAGGGTTGTGAATAGGGGCTATTCTAGCTCACGGGCTGAACTTGCGGTAGGCAGCGGCTTGGCTCCCCCCCTGGCATTGCTGAAGTCCATGGGCGACGATAACCACTCACCATCAGGTTGGCCGTATGATCGTCTGCCTACACGGGCAATAAAAAAAAACCTGAGCGAATTCTCTAACACTGGCCCTAGCAAGAGCAGTGCTTCGCTGAATCTACCACCGGATCGGAATCGCGACCCACTGAAAAGATTCCGTGAAAAACTAAGTCACTTGTGTCTATTTAGCTAAGTTACATAACGAACTATGCTTGGTATTCTAAGTACTCAATAATATACACAAGTTATTCTTTAAGCATTTTCTCTATTTTAAATATAGTTATATTACAGTCCCTTCAAGAGTTTTCGGAACACGGAGACGTAGTTTATTTATTTATTTATTGCTTAGATTGATGGACGAGCTCAGAGCCCACCTGGTGTTAAGTGGTTACTGGAGCCCATAGACATCTACAACGTAAATGCGCCACCCACCTTGATATATAAGTTCTAAGATCTCAGTATAGTTACAACGGCTGCTCCACCCTTCAGACCGAAACGCATTACTGCTTCACGGCAGAAATAGGTAAAACGGTGGTACCTACCCGCGCGGACTCAAGACGTCCTACCACCAGTAATTACGCAAATTATAATTTTGCGGGTTTGATTTTTATTACACGATGTTATTCCTTCACCGTGGAAGTCAATCGTGAACATTTGTTGAGTTACGTATTTCATTAGAAAAATTGGTACCCGCCAGCGGGATTCGAACACCGGTGCATCGCTCGACACGAACGCACCGGACGTCTTATCATTTAGGCCACGACGTCATCCTCCTCCGATGCGTTCACACTACGGTCTACCAGACTCTTCATTCTCCTTCTGTTCATCAGCAGGCCGCAAGGAGCTGCGGCAGCTGTCGCAGGTCGCGGCAAACATCATGAAGGAGAAAAGCAAAAACGCGGCACGATCCAGGAGGGAAAAAGAGAACACAGAATTCTTGGAGCTGGCGAAGCTGCTGCCTCTGCCTTCTGCGATCACCTCGCAGCTGGACAAGGCCTCCGTTATAAGACTAACGACCAGCTACCTGAAGATGCGCCAGGTTTTTCCTGATGGTGAGTTTTCGGGTGGCAATTTCATAACGTGTTCTTTTAGAAGCTTTTTTTTCCGCCTACCTTTACTTACTAATAAACCTTGAGGGTCAAACCGGAGACGTTGCTGACACTGGCCCTAGCAAGAGCAGTGCTTCGCAGAATCTACCACCGGATCGGAAACGCGGCCCACTGAGAAGATTCGGCGAGAAACTCAGTGGGCTGTGTCTATGAGTTAGTTTACTCGTCGAGCCCTTCATCGCAAGTGACGGGTTCGACGAGAAAAATCTTAGAAGTGTTCATAGGACCGACCAAGTATCCGCTCAGATCATTCACATAATTGTCTTACGTGACTATAAAGATCAGTATACTGCTGGTGTAAAAGCTATTGTGACTAAAGCGACCAAACAATCTGAGTTAAGTCATGTTTTTTCAAAGGAAATAACGTACCAACACGAGCGATTTCCACGATGTACCTAAGGTCGTGTGTTCTAGCTTAAAAGCTGAGACAATCGACTATATAATTGAGACGTCGGCAACCTCAAGACTGTCTCAAAGTGGTGTTCAGACCGTGATATCTATGAACACTATTTTGGCAGTCCTCTTCCACTTATTTTGTGTAATAAATGAAAGAGCGCTTTTTTTTGTTGCATAGATGGGTGGACCAGCTCACATCCTACCTGGTGTTAAGTAATTACCGGAGCCCCTAGACATCTACAACGTAAATGCCGCCACCCACCTAAAAATATGAGTTCTAAGGTCTCAGTATAGTTACAACGGCTGCCCCACCCTTCAAGCCGAAACGCGTTACTGCTTCACGGCGGAAATAGGCAGGACGGTGGTACCTACCCGAGTGGACTCACAAGACGTCCTACCACCAGTAATCACGCAAATTAATTTTGCGGGTTTGATTTTTATTACACGATGTTGTTATTCCTTCACCGTGGAAGTCAATCGTGAACGTTTGTTAAGTACGTATTTCATTAGAAAAATTAATTGGTACCCGCCTGCGGGATTCTCGTCGGCAGTAAAGGAAATCCGCTTTTGTCACCAGGCTTAGGGGACGCGTGGGGAGCGGCGCCACCACCACCACAGCCCCGGGAATTGTCGATACGAGAGCTCGGGTCGCATTTGCTCCAAACTTTGGACGGTTTTATATTCGTAGTGGCTCCCGATGGCAAAATTATGTACATCAGCGAAACTGCGTCAGTACATCTTGGCTTGAGTCAGGTGAGTCGGCACCAATCTCGTAGGTACTAAGGGCGATTCATTGAAATATCGAAGGATGTAAGACTATTTCGTTTAAGCGAAGCTCTTGCGATTTTACAGGAGAGCCGTTTAAAGTTTAGAATTAGAAAAAAATATCATAACAAAACCAAACTACTTTAGTTATTTTTTTTTTTTTTATTGCTCAGATGGGTGGACGAGCTCACAGCCCAACTGGTATTATGTGGTTACTGGAGCCCATAGACATCTACAACGTAAATGCGCCACCCACCTTGAGATATGAGTTATAAGGTCTTAGTATATTTACAACGGCTGTCCCGCCCTTCAAACCGAAACGCATTACTGCTTGACGGCAGAAATAGGCAGCGTGGTGGTACCTAGCCGTGCGGACTCACAAGACGTCCTGCCACCAGTAATTACGCAAATTATAATTTTGCGGGTTTGATTTTTATTACACGATTTCATTTTTATTTAGCCTCACAAAATAGGTACCAAATTTGTATTTCACGATTGATTTTCCTGTATATAGGTGGAACTCACCGGCAACTCTATATATGAGTACATCCACCAAGCAGACCACGAGGAGATGAATGCAGTACTGAGTCTCCACCACCCTCACTCCTACCACGGCCACCAGTATCCTTCAGTTGGGTAATGTCCGAAATTTATGTTGTAATATGACCTTCATTGCTTTGTTGGAGGAGTTAACTCAAGACCACTATAGCCTTCTTATATGAGGGGTGAAGTCTGGAACCGCCACCGATTTGATTTGTGAGGGCGTAGTCTGAAATTGGAACACATGGTTGCTTCGTGGCAGTAATGGTCAGGTCTGTGGTGCCTAATTTTTTTGTTTATTGCTTATATGGGTTGACGAGCTCACAGCCCACTTGCTTGTTAAGTGGTTACTGGAGCCCATAGAAATCTACAACGTAAATGCGCCACCCACCTTGAGATATAAGTTCTAAGGTCTCAAGTTTAGTTACGTTCGTCTTTTATTGTATTTGTTACTTCTCAGGACTAGATTTGGAAATTGAAATTTCCCGAAAATTCAATTAGTTAGATCAATAACAAAATTACAGTTCTCGAAGCGAAGCGAGGGCGGATCGTTAGTGAAAAATAAAGTCTGAATCATCATGATGCTTTTGTGCACAGGTATCCGGTGGGAGGGACTTGGGGTCCGACAGTCGATGCGGAGTGTGAAAGAGCGTTCTTCATCAGAATGAAATGTGTGCTGGCGAAGAGGAACGCCGGCCTAACCACCTCAGGATACAAGGTACTTAAATGGCTTTTTTAATACGCTTTTATTAGCTTCAGACGTATGTATGAAGTAATATTCCGTATGTAACGGAATCTTTGAACATGATCTTGACCCCCCTTAAAACGTCGGATTAACCCGAAATTTTGGTATACTTATTAAAGACCGATGACAATTCAATAATTAAAAAAAATATATTGAAAAAATTGAAATTTAACTAAAAAATGAAAAATAAATAATAGTTTAAAAAACTAAGAAAATCCAACTAAAAAATAGAAAATAAATTTTAATAAATTTGAATTAAAAATAGTGTAAAAAAAAATATTTTATTGTAAAAAAAGCGTTCCATTATCATATTTAATGTACATAAAATCTATATATTAATAATACGTGAAGCAAAAACTTTGTACCCCTTTTTACGAAAATTACGCGGAGGGAGGGGCATGAAATTTTCCACACATAGAAAATATAGAAAAGGAGTGCATAATGTTACTATATTTTTTTAATTGTGCATTAAAAATACATTAAATCAATAAAAAACACTACACACACTATCATGTATTTGACACACACATATACTCTTTGTTTATTGTCAATTTATTGCTATTGCTTAAAATCTGTGGTCAAATTGAGAATACGTTAATAATGTTTATCTTTAATATTATTTTTCTATACTCGTAGTATCTAGCGAAATTTAAGTAATAACCTATGCTTTTCTCAAGTTAAACACTTACCACTTAGATTAATCTATATATTAATACGTGAAGCAAAAACTTTGTATCCCTTTTTACGAAAATTCGCGGCCGGAGGAGTATGAAATTTTCCACACTTATAGAGAATATAGAGAAGCAGTGCACAATGCTAATATTTTTTTAAAATAATGCATAAAAAATACATTAAATCAATAAAGAAAACATTACACACACTACATACCATGTATTTGACGCACACACGCATGCATACTATTTATTGTCAAACTTTTGTTCTTGACGTCTCTTGTCAAATTGAGAATAGATTAAATATTGTTTGTCTTTGTTAATATTTTTAAAATTGTAGTCTTGGCGAAATTAGTGATTATAGAAGTATAAAATCAATCATAATAGTGTACAAACTTACAATTCCAATTAATTATAGTCGAATTTCGACTACTGCGGGACCTCTAGTTTAAGTTATCACTTCTGTTGGACGCGTAGGTTTTTTTTTCTATATCCTGTTGCTACTGATCAAAATGTTGAGCGAAATTATTGTATCATTATCAATACTTAACCCGTATGCAAATTTTCAAATTGATCGGTCTTCTTCAAGTCTTTGGTAATTTCGTTACACGCAGCACAGTTTTTTGTATTATATTAATTTTTTATCGCCCTTGAAGGCAGACGAGTGCCCACCTGGTGGTGAATGGTTACCGTCGCCCGTGGACGTCAGCAATGCAAGGGACAGAGCCAACCGTTAATACTACACATACACACATACCACATACATAGATATATAGCATCGTTGTATCCTCAGGAAATATCGGACATTTTACACCCTCACGCTAGACAAAATAAAAATTCCATTACCATTGCATTGACACACGTCAATAAATTGGCGTCGGACCTGGGAGGCACAGGAGCGGTTAACCCACAGTTAATACAGCCCACTGAGTTTCTCGCCGGATCTTCTCAGTGGGTCGCGTTTCCGATCCGGTGGTAGATTCTGCGAAGCACTGCTCTTGCTAGGGCCAGTGCTAGCAACACGTCCGGTTTGAGCCCCGTGAGCTCACGTACATGTTAGGGTGAAGCTGAAATAGCCTCTCAAGGCTTAGGTAGGAAAAAAATAATAGGAGCAGTGCAGCTTACTAGACTAAGGAAGCACAGTATACCTGCTTTAGAGAATAGATATTAGATCTTACAATAAAAGATGAAGATGTCACTGGACATCTAAATCTGTTATATCATTATTAAGATTAAAATCAGTCAAAGGAATAGCTCATTGCTGATACAGATCACTAGGAGATAATAATAAAAAATTAAAAAAAAAACAATATTATCATTGCTTGCATAAGTTTTGTTTAATACATACAAGAGATAACTAAACTAAATCCCGAAAAATTACACCAACAAAATTCTAATGGACATCTGACTCTGTTATATCACTATTAAGATTTTAAATCAGCCAAAGGAATAATAGCTCATTGCTGATACCGATCACTAGGAGATCATAAATAAAAATTGAAAAAAAACAATATTATCATTGCTTGCATAAGTTTTGTTTAATACATACAAAAGATAACTAAACTAAATCCCGAAAAATTACGCAAACAAAATCCTAAAGACGCATGTAAGGTTTTATCAACGAACAAAAACAACTCAGTCCCCCCCGAATTACCTATTCGGTTAATCAATTCAATTTTCACAAGCGGACACCCTGTGTAATGCTAATAAAGTGCATCGCAAATACAGGGGGGGGTGTATTTCCCTTATTGTCGCAAGGATTAAAGCTCTCTCTAGGTGAACTTGATAAACATTCGGAAATGTTTTTAATGGGTTACACGTTTTGCGTATTAGTAAATCAGATATTGACACAAATCGTTCGGTTATGGCGTATTGTGGGTTGGGACGGGCGCTTCTGCCTTTATTTTGGCCCGGAGAATAAATATTATATTCATCTTCTCGCATTAAAACCGTATAATCTCAGAACTTACTAAATTTTACAGGAGAGTGTTTTAAAGGTTTAACATATCGACGTTTGAAAGGCAAACGCGACTAAGCGACAATAACTGCTTTGTACATAAATGATAGGCAATAACCATATTCGATACGCAAAAAAAAAATATTTCTAGGTCTATTAAAATAATTTCAAACCTACAGCTACTAGCTAGATTCTACTACAGCTAGATTCGTTAAAATATATTTGTTTTCAGGTATTTCAACTTTAAATTAGTCTACTGTAAAGTTCACGCATTGTCGCTTAGTCACGTTTGCCTTTCAAGCGTCGATATGATATCTATCGATATATATGAAAATGAATTGCCGTTCGTTAGTCTCGAGAACGGCTGGACTGATTTGACGAATTTTGGTCTTGAATTATTTGTGCAAGTCCAGAGAAGGTTTAAAAGGTAGATAAATATGAAAATGAAATAATGATAATGAAATGATGATCTCAGAATGAAATAAAAATAATTATTTCGTTTTCCCTTTAATGTGTCCCCCGTTGGACGGATTCCTTTTGTTTGTTTTAAGTTTATTTTATACAAAAGATTAGGTCTTTAATTTATCGATTGAGGCACTACGAAGTCTGCCGGGTCAGCTAGTTTTTAATATTAATCATCTTTGCAACATTTATTTTTTGCCACTTACATTATCTATCTTTTAAAGTAAGATAAAATTATGTATTAATTTTGTTAATAGTAGTCAAAACATAGGTACTATACTAAAAAAAAAAACTAAAACTAAACTGGTGACTGATGATACCAAATGATTCCGCATATTAACTCAATTTCGAATATTTTAGGATTATTGTTTTGTTGTTGTTGTTGTTGTAAATTTCCATATTTTTTAGTGAAAGACTATTCGGAAAAAATATCATAACCTAAAAAACTTCTTTAGCTATTCCAGTTTTCGTTTTGTGATAGGTGATAACCGGAGCTCATAGATATCTACATCGTAGTAAATGTCGCCAGCCCCCTCGAGAGAAGAGTTGTAAGGTCTCAGTTTTTACAGTATAACGGTTTCCCCGCCCTTCAAACCGAAACGCATTACTGCTTCACGGCAAATATAGGCAGGGTGGTTGGTACCCACCCGCGCGGACTCACAAGAGGTCCTACCACCAGTAATTACGCAAATTATAATTTTGCGGGTTTGATTTCTATTACACGATGTTATTCCTTCACCGTGGAAGTCAATCGTGAACATTTGTTCGGAGAAGAAAAAAGAAGAAAAACCGCGACATTAGAACTCATATCTCAAGGTTGGTGGCGGTATTTACATTGTAGATTTCCATGGGCTCCGGTAGCTGCTTAACGCCAGGTGGGCCGTGAGCTCGTCCACCAATCTAACCAATAAAAAAAAATTGTAATTTCGATACAGTCGTATTAAAGTGAAGATGTCTCAGGTGATCCACTGCTCCGGCTACCTAAGAGTTCGGCGGTTCGGTGAGGGCTCCGCCCCCCTCGGGCTGGTGGCAGTGGGGCACTCCCTCCCGCCCTCCGCCGTCACAGAACTCAAGCTGCACTCCAACATGTTCATGTTCCGAGCGTCGTTGGACATGCGGCTGATCTTCCTGGATGCAAGGTCAGTGGGAAATTACGTAATCTATACATATAAATAAAATTGGAGTGTCTGTTTGTATTATTGAAATAACCGCTTTTTACTACATGCATATGAATATATACATATACGGTACATACACCAAAATATATTTTTTACAATTTTTGTCTGTCGGTCTGTTTATTCCGGCTAATCTCTGGACCGGCTGGACCGAGTTTGACGGGACTTTCACTGACAGGTAGCTGATTATATAAGGAGTAACATAGGCTACTTTTTTTAGACTAACTTCGCCCCGCGGCCTCACCCGCGGTACAACAATAACCGCGGGTAACATCGCGGGACTCAGCTATCAATAATAAAATTTAATGTTTCCGAAGCGAAGCGAGGACGGGTCGCTAGTTCAAAATGTTTTTATGCTCCAAACTGGATACATTGGAGCGTTAACAAAATTATTTGTAAAACGGCAATGTAATACAAAATTTTAACACCGCAACGACGTAAGGTAGATTGTAAGACTTTTTGGCGGGAACGCGAGGAGCGAAGTGGTGTGATTTGTTTTATTTTGTCTATTTAGTGTTTCTTCGGGTTTAAATGTGTAATAACCGGTGGCTTATTAACTGTTTAATATCTGTGAAAGTGCACAAATGCGGGAAAATGAAACAAAGCCGCTGGACGTAGCTTCTCGGGATCCTCCGAAAAGTCCACTGAAAATGTCTCAGTAAATGATCACCATTTTACTGAGATTATATTTCCTCACATACCATCTCATTTGTAAATTTAATTCGTTTTTAATGATTTATGTTATGTCGCGATTAGTTTTTTATTACTCACTAGCTGACCCGGCAGACTTCGTAGTGCCTCAATCGATAAATAAAAGAACTAAACTTTTGTATAAAATAAACTTAAAACAAACAAAAGAAATCCGTCCGACGGGGGACACAACAAAGGAAAAACAAAATTGTTATTTTTATTTAATTCCGAGCATTTTCATATTTATCTACCTTTTAAACCTTCTCTGGACTTCCTCAAATAATTCAAGACCAAAATTATTATTATTTTAGCGAGTCTAACGAACAGCAATTCATTTTTATATATGTAGATAAACGGTAATTAATTAAAACGGAAAATTATAAAAATCTTATTACTTGACGCTGGCTAATGCACAAACCGTGCCGCAGCCAACAAATTAAGAAAAAGTAGAAGGTAGATTGTATTATACATTACGGGTTGTGGTGAGAAGTGCGCCGACTTTGTAATATAAAATTAAGACTTCGAATTCTAATCTCAAGGTGAGTAACGGCTTTTACACTGTTGATGCCTATGGGCTCGAGTAACCACTTAACACCAGATGGGCTGCGAGTTCGTCCACCCATCAAAACAAAAAAAAAGGGTGCGTGTACTTATGTACGCGCGTAAGAAGTTATACTTTATTTTTATTAAATTTATTTCTTTTTTATTTATTTAAATATTAATCAATTTGAAAAAAAATCGATTAAACAACATCCTCAAACACGCATATTGGACATCCCTTTTCTTGACATCGTATAAATTCGGTAATTCTAGGTACGGTTCGGAAAGTTCACCTGCGGCTATATTCAGACTCGCCAAGTTACGTCGGTCGTATTGTAATGAGCGATTTAGTGGGCAACTTCATTCTGTTAATTTTGTGTCACGGTGCGCGCGCATCGTAAAATTTCGCTCTCATAAATATTTCATAACGCGCCTAAAGAAGTATAACTTCAAAAAATAGCTCCACCTGACCATTCTTACAAAGTTTATAATATTAGTAAGATTAGTCACTGGCGTACTTCGCCGCCATCGCTGAGCCTAGGACTCGCGTCGAAAACTACAATTGCTCTACCCATTTAAGCGAATAAAAGAGCGTAAATTAAATAATGCCATTCGATAAGGCGGTGCGCGCTATTCCGAGAACGTATGTCATTAATCCGTGTCCATGGTTCACGGTACGAACGAGTCCTGCGATCTGTTTCCGTTACACGACGAGAAATTTCATGTATTTTCTTGTTAGTTGTATTTTTACGTGATTTATAACGTCTCAATCTCGATCACGTATTTCGATCTTAATCGAGATCGAAATACGTGTACAAAATACCCTACGATGCAGTGCAGCCCTACATCCGGTTCTCTGTTCAAAGCTACTAAGCAGGCGTACCAAGATTCGGATAGTGAGAGCGATCTTATTGTATGGATGCGAAGCATGGACGCTTACATATAAAGAGACAGAGCTTCTCGTAACGAAGCGAAAGGTGCAGAGAAAAATATTAGGACCAGTTCAAAAAGATGACGGTTCTTGGCACGTCCGGAAAAACAAGGATGTGGAGAGGCTTTTTGGTGAGCCAAACATTCTGGGGGAGTTGAAGGCACGGAGGCTCGGATGGCTCGGGCATGTAGTGCGAATGGAGCAGGATCGGGCTGTGAAACGGGTGTACGCGGGTGTACCGAAGGGACGCCGCCCCGTAGGAAGACCCAAGTACCACTAGTCTGACGCTGTGGAAGGAAATTTACGTGAGCTCCAAGTGTCGGACTGGCAAGGTGTTGCGCAGCGCCGGGAAGAATGGCAAAGCTTATTGTCGGTGGCCAAGACCCACTTCGGGATCATAGCGCTAGCGCAGTAGTAGTAACGTCTTAATAAATCGACGAATACTAGTTGCACGCACGAAAAAGTGTCACGTTCCGCCTAAGTGTGCAAGCGAGAGCGCGGAACAAACGATAGAGAGGCACGATCGGCCCAAGCGTTGGCTTGTGACACATTTATCTCTCTTCTCGCGTAACGTCAGAGCTAGCAGTTCGAATAGTTCCGATACTGACGTTGTCACGTAAAACTCGATTCGTCAAGGGAAAGCCTCGGTGTTTCTACCTAAGCTGGTAACCTAGAGGGTTATGCCAGCGTAACCAAGCGAATAGGTGAGCTCACGGGGCTCAAACCGAAGCGGTGCTAACACTGGCCCTAGCAAGAGCAGTGCTTCGTAGAATCTACCACCGGATCGGAAACGCGACCCACTGAGAAGATCCCGCGAGAAACTCAGTGGGCTGTGTCTGTAGGTTAATTTACTCGCCGATCCCTTCGTTGCAAGCGACGGGTTCGACGAGAACGATGACCGGTGCTTGAGTTACCTAAAAGCACCTTTAGTGGATCGGGAGGATCCGAAATGACGTGTTTAGGGCGACTTCAACTGCTTACAATGCATCGGTGTAGGTTCCGGGAAAACAAGAAGTCTTCTCGGGATCAAAGGTAGCCTACATCACTCTCCTGACTTAATGCTGTCAATTTATTGCTTAGATGGGTGAATGACCTTACAGCCCACCTGGTGTTAAGTGGTTACTGGAGCCCATAGACATCTACAACGTAAATGGCCACCCATCTTGAGATATAAGTTCTAAGGTCTCAGTATTGTTACAACGGCTGCCCCACCCTTCAAATTGAAACGCATTACTGCTTCACGGCAGAAAAAGGCGGGTGGTGGTACCTACCCGTGCGAACTCACAAGAGGCCTACCACCAGTAATTACGCAAATTATAAAATTGCAAGTTTGATTTTTATTACACGATGTTATTCCTTCACCGTGGAAGTCAATCGTGAAAATTTGTCAAGTACGTATTTCATTAGAAAAATTGGTACTCGCCTGCGGGATTCGAACTCCGGTGCATCGCTAGATACGAATGCACCGGACGTTTTATCCTTTAGGCCACGACGACTTTAAAATAGCCATATTATACCCCTCGATATAATACAATATATATACATAAATACAATAGTACAATATTCAGAGCACGCTGCTCAGCATTATCCAATAGCAGAATAAAAGTTCAATACTACGTCGAGAGCCCGTAGTAATGACGACAATATTTCGTGACTTATCCAACAACGGAAACAATTATCCGTACAAGTTCACAGTTTATTAGTTCACGGCAATCAGAGACGCGTAAACCTGGCCCGGGACTCAACAATACGACTGTTAGAGGTTCGTGGAAATGCTCACGGCGAATGTTGCCAGACTTGTTCCCTTTGTTTTCCATTTAATAAAATTTCCCTCAAAAAAATTATCGCCGGTTTTTTTTTATTGCTTAGATGGGTGGACGAGCTCACAGCCCACCTGGTCTTAAGTGTTTACCGAAACCCATAGACATCTACAACGTAAATGCCGCCACCCACCTTGAGATATAAGTTCTAAGGTCTCTCAGTATAGTTACAACGGCTGCCCCACCCTTCAAACCGAAGGTTCTGGCTTGCTGTTTTGACAGGACGTAGGAGCCGCCCTATCAATCAACTTCAAATTAATAATAATCGGTCATAATCGAAAAGTACTTCTACTTAAACTAAAGTACTTCTTCTTAATATTACTTCTACATGAATAATAATAAAGCCGTTAATTTTATTCCTGATTCTTGAACGCTTTCAAAATTCGATTTTTGGAAAGTTCTTTTTGATTTTACTATTTTCATGTGTCTTCCCACTTTCAGTTTCGGAATTCCCACATTCATCTTGCGCTGCCTAGGTCACAGCTGCAAATTACAGCAATGATTCTCGAGGGTTTAGATAGCATTGGGCAAAAGGTTGTCTGCTTGACAAGCTCCGCATTAAGCCCGTAACTGCCTCTCTCATCTCACACGACGCTCTGACGTTCACTCCTGGAAGAAAAACTAAAATAGATTGGAACAAAAAAGTTATTACGGATTTGTATACCGCGAATATACTTCCTTAGATATGAAATTTCATATCTGTTCTTTCATGAATATGAAATGAAAAAAGAATAGGAACGGAAGCATTGTGTACTTCTGCTGGCAAGACGACTTCGAATAGCCATGAGCTCATCTTATTGATGATGATTTCGATCCGGTAGTAGATTCAGCGAAGCATTGCTCTTGCTAAGGCTGACCGTAGCAAAGTCGCCTTGCCCCGTGAGCTTCTCCTACACGTTCGGTGGCCCTTCGAAGTTATGGACAAAATCTCCGTGTGCAAATCACACGCAGCAAAAATGAAATCATATATTTGTAAGCTTCCC